ATTCTATTCTTAATACTATCCTATTCGATTCCTATTCCATTCCATTCCTATTCTATTCATTCCATATTCTATTCTTATTTCCTATTCTATTCCTAATTCATATTCTTCCATTCTATTCTATTCTTAATACTATTCTATTCGATTCCCATTCCATTGCATTCCATTCCTATTCTATTCATTCCATATTCTATTCTTATTTCCTATTCTATTCTATTCCTAATTCATATTCTTCTATTCTATTCCTAAATCATATTCTTCTATTCTATTCTATTCTATTCTTAATACTATTCTATTCGATCCCTATTCCATTCCATTCCTATTCTATTCATTCCATATTCTATTCTTATTTCCTATTCTATTCTATTCCTAATTCATATTCTTCTATTCCTGATTCATATTATTCTATTCTATTCCTGATTCATATTATTCTATTCTATTCTATTCTTAATACTATTCGATTCCCATTCCATTCCTATTCTATTCATTCCATATTCTATTATTTCCTATTCTATTCTATTCCTAATTCATATTCTATTGTATTCTATTCTCTATTTTTTCTATTTTCTATTATTTTCTATTTCTATCTTCTATCTTTTCTATCTTCTTCTATTTCCTATTTCCTATTTTCTTTTCTATTATTTTTTCTTTTCTATTCCATTCCATTCCAAACAGATCCAACCCTTCATGCCTTCCAACTGGTTTATTGGATAGGAAGAGGCAGATGGATAAAGTTAACCATTAGGAAAGTTTAAAAAAAAACTTTACAAAACTTTATAAACTGGTCGTTTAAGGCAGGTCACGTCAGCCACCCCCCCCCCCCGTGGCTTCTTTGCAGGCCCTGCTTTGAAAAAAACCCCAGGTTTTAATGTTTTCCCCCTCCGTGCCTCAGGACGTAGACAATCCCCAAGTCCTGAGTTTGAGACTCGGCACAGTTTTCCTTGCTGACCGAAAAGCCCGGGAGGAGCGCTGGGCCTCCTTCTCGTCCCCTGCCTTCAAATCATGGTCACTCGGTTCTTGATGTACATGTGGTAGGGGTCGCTGGGCTTGTCCACCTCTCGGGATCGGGTGTAGCTCAGGATCAGGCTGCCCACCGTCAAGGCGAAAAGGAGCATCATGAAAACGATGTACATGTAGGCGTACGTATCTTTTCCCTCCCGGTCGGCCTTGCCCAGCTGGGCACACGGCTCGACGCAGGAGAGGGTACCGTTGAGGAGCCTCAACATCACGTCCAGCTGCTGGAACCAGTCCTTGGTGTGGTTAGAGGCCATCCTGGTATCTGGAGAATGCTGGTGGACGACCAAAACAGAAGGAGATTCAGAATGGCATCCCTCCTCCCCAGAAAACAGAACTGCCTCCCCAGTGAGAATTTGGGGAGGAAGGACCCCTCCCACTGCAGCAACCTGGAGATGGATGAGAGCGTAGGCCTCCTCTAGGACAGGGGTCTCCAACCTTAGCAACTTTAAGTCTGGTGGACTTTAGCTCCCAGAATTCCCCAGCCAGCTTTTGCTGGAGGACTTCGACTCCCAGAATTCCCCAGCCAACTTTGCTGAAGGACTTCAACTCCCAGAATTCCCCAGCAACGTTTGCTGGAGGACTTCAACTCCCAGAATTCCCCAGCCAGCTTTGCTGAAGGACTTCGACTCCCAGAATTCCCCAGCCAACTTTGCTGAAGGACTTCAACTCCCAGAATTCCCCAGCCAACTTTGCTGAAGGACTTCGACTCCCAGAATTCCCCAGCCAACTTTGCTGAAGGACTTCAACTCCCAGAATTCCCCAGCAACGTTTGCTGGAGGACTTCAACTCCCAGAATTCCCCCCAGCCAGCTTTGCTGAAGGACTTCGACTCCCAGAATTCCCCAGCAATGTTTGCTGAAGGACTTCAACTCCCAGAATTCCCCAGCCAGCTTTGCTGGAGGACTTCGACTCCCAGAATTCCCCAGCCAACTTTGCTGGAGGACTTCAGCTGGCTGGGGAATTCTGGGAGTTGAAGTCC